TATTCTTTTTTATCTAATGATCATAGGAGCAGGAACTGATGTCAAAAGATCTTCCCAGTTTTATAGAAGTGATTGTTTCTGTTACTACTTTAGATTTACTTTGGTTTATTAGTCTGGATATTTTATAATAACTCTGACTTTTTTTTTTACGCAATAAGTAAACATTAAAGGTAACCAAAGAAAATTTAAAATTTAATGTTAAAAAAAAATTAAAGGCTAGTATAAATAAGCAATAATAAATCGTATTTTACTCGATCTACTAAAATAAGTTCCACAAATTTAACTAGCATTATTGTTTTAGTGAATCGAGTAAAATATTATTATTGTTTATTCGTTTAAACTTTTGACTTTCTTTTTTTCTACTTATTTCAGCAAATAACGCTACCATTTACGATAATGAATTAACTAAAAAGAATTTGAGGAAGCGTTTTCCTTTTTTAAAAAAAAGAAAGCACCAGGATTTGATGAAACATCTAGTGATATAGTTATCTTCAAAAAATCAGCCTAAGCAGACCTCCGAACCATATACTACGACTGTAAATAACTTCTGGGATTTTCCCTGATGAACTTAAACTCGCAAAAATCGATCACTGCATCCTATTAGATAAACTAAAGCACTATGGTATTACTGATAGAACTTGCAATTGGATTAAAAGTACTTAAATCTTACCAATAGAAAACAATATGTAGGTAATATACAATCTGGAGTATTAAATGTTTTATGTGGAGTTCCCTGTTTGTAATTTAAATGATTTTTGCAATGCGTTCTTAAAACTAAATTCGGTCATGTTTGCTGGTAATAAAAATCTAATTCTTTCTTACAATAATATCAAGAAACTATGCGCAGACATGAATACTGAACTAAATAAATAAATGATTGGTTTAGGGTCAATAAACTCTCGCTTAACTCAAAGAAAACAAACTGCATAATATTCCATTAAAAAAAAAACACAAGAAGAAAACCTTTCTCTTGCCTGACCTTATCTTAAATGATAAACCTATTAAAAAACAAGCCAGTATAAGATTCTTGGGAATTTTTGTTGATGATAGTTTATCCTGACTTTCTAAAAGAATATATATCCAATCTAAGTGTATCATCACACCAAAAGATAATTGGTGTGATGTATCGAATTCATTTGTATATCCATAAACAAAGTCTCAACCTAATATATTTTGAATTAATTCATTGCTTCATCAGCTATGCAAATATATCATAGGGAAATATGTAACCATCAAAACTTGAAAAAAAATTTATAGCTTTTGCGCACTAATTTTATTTAACGTGCGTTTTTCTACGCATTTAATCTTATCCAGTAATTTGTACCAACTACAGAAAACTTTATACTGCTTTTATGTGGTTACATACAATAATACAATAAAACTTCTATTGGTTAAAACAGGTTACAAAATTTACTAATTTTGTTGAATATGTAGACAAACATTTAAATTATTCAAAAATATTTAACAGATTTACGCTGAAGTACTTTTAACTATTAACAATTTACGTCATGGGCTTTGAATTATAATTTATAGAATTTTAAAAACGTTGAGTTATTAAGTATACATTTTTGCATATGGGTACATGTTTTGGTTGAATATATAATTTGTTAAAATTATTTAAAAATTGTGCACATAGTTATTAAAAAATGCACTTATTTTAACTACTCATCATTACTTAATTAATTTTATTTTTTCAGTATTATTATTTATAAAAAAGTTCTATAGATTTTTTAATTAGGTTAATAAACCGAATTGTAAGTATGTTAAGTAAATTTAATAAAGTGATTTTAATTTTGCAGGCGCGGGTAAAATGCGGAAACTGTTGATCCTGAATTCAACTTGAACATAAATTTTTGTCTGACTATCATTTGTGGAAACTGACAATTTTATGTTCTAAACAGAAAGGTAAAACTGCAGAGACTTTCTGGTTAAATGAGCGTCATTTAATAGTTGGGATAAATAAAATAATAAAATGACATCTGAAATTAAATAACTAGTTATTATTTATTGGCCGCAGTTAACTGCGGCCAAGGGTAAGATACTGAATGTAGTTGCTACATTCATAATCTTTTTGAATTTGTCGAAAAGTTATCTATGCTTTAACTACTTTGACGAATTCAAATGTCACTGAAAGTAACATTTTATGCTCTAAAAAAAAATATTTGTTGGTGGTGACAGCACAAATACTAACACATATAACGATAACAAAAAACACTTTTAATGTTAAAGTTTACAAAATCCAGTGACCTCTACGGCATATAGTAAGTAAATCTCCCTTAAAGTTAAAGATAAATTATGACCTTCCAGATTTTGCGGTATTAGGAAGAGAGGCGATTCTACAAATAAAATAAGGGGAGGGGGTAAATCCTTAAAATGTACCGACTTGCTTCTTAAAAAAAAGTTAAAAAAGGTCCTCAAAATGAAAATTTAACCAACTGAGTTGTGTCAAATACCCAACTAGCCGACTAAATTCGCAAAAAAAATTGACTATAACGTGAAAATCACCTTCTTTGGGGGAAAGGGTGTAGCACCTCCCCTCCCCCCCCACCTTAAAATTGCCTCTGGTTAGGAATAATAAAGAACTTAAGAAAATATGTCATTACCAATACCAATTTATTAAAAAAAGCTCATATGCAAAAGTAGTGTGCCAAAAATGTTACTAATACATGAGGAAGTTATCTAATACTGAGGAAAAAACTTGAATCCACCACCTGATTACCGTCTTTACAAATATGTAAATAATAAAAAAAAATAAGTAAACTCTCTTTTTTTCTGATAAAAATTATAAAGAACGTTCTTGAAAAGAAAAAACGCTATCAAACGTGTTTATAATAGCGGTGGTTTTTATCGAACCAACGCGGTCGAAAATTAAAGGTTTTAGAAAAAATCCATTCTTTATTCTCCATTTAAACTAAATTAGGTTATTTTTTATTTAATCTAGTTTCTAAATGCTTTTTTGGTACATGATATCTCTTACAAAAGTAAATTAATATGTCTTACAAAAAATAGATAAGTTTGAGTTTTACTTGAAATTATATATTCATGATGTATTTTCTTACAAGATTTTGTTTAAACGGATGTTTTAGATAATCAAGGAATATACAGATAAGCAGGAAACTCCGATCGGTGTTACATTTAAACAAACATTTAAAGCGTTGCTTTAAAATCTAAACAAATTATAAAAGGTTTTGAAAAACGGTCAATGGTTTTTGGATAGGTTTCAGTAAGCTTGTAAAAAGTTTTTAAAGATGTGTTTATGTTGCATACTACTTTAACATATTGCATTTAAAATACCATTTGTGGATTTTCATTTGTTTGATTTTTAAAATTAAGGTATATGTATGTTTTGTTTGTGTGTTTTTAGTAGAGGCAAAACATTTTTTTGAATTCTAATTAGAGAAAATTGCTACCTTATTTTTGCGTTGATGTTTATTAAAATAACGCTTGTACATATAATAAATATGAAAGTAAGAATACGTTTTATTTATTTATTTATTTTTTTCTATAAGCATACCAAATATTGGCAAAAACTAAATATAGTTATGCCATTTAAAAAACATAATTTTGAGAGTTAGGGAAACAATTTCTGACATCAAAACTGAGTTTTGACCAATCTGACTTTTGCTTAATGGTTCAACTTACAAGATTTTGACACCCTAATATAAAAATTTAGATTTTTGGTTCAGGTAATTCAATTCTGAATTCAAAATTAAAATTAAGCAAAATAAAAATCAAATAAAAAACATTTTAAGAAAAAAGTGGAAAAAAGTTTCTCTTCTTTAGAAAACTTTCTAAATTCACTTTCTTTCTCCATATCAGCAAACTTATTTCAAGATCTGAGATATACGTCAACTATAAAATGCAGGTTCTGTTTTTTTCTAAAATTTTGAAGCTTTGAGTGTAATATACATTTTTTGCCTTTTATAATCAATTTTAGCCAGTTTAAAAAGTTAAAAACTTTTTTGGATAACAATCAACACCTTTTTGTGCACATTTTATTTATCTCCAGAATATCCAGGTTAAAAAGATTTACAAAAAACAAAAATAAAATTTAACCAGAATAAGTTTTTTTTTTCAATACATTCTTTTTTTATTGTTTCATTAAATTCAAAAACAATTTTTGAATTTAATGAAACGCCCTAAAAACGTTTTTTTTTTCCTAATTAATAAAATAGTTCGTTTAATACCCTTTATTCAACGCTTTTAATTTATCTAGTATATCGCGTCGACTAAAGAAATCGTTTAGAATAGTTCTTATTAAATATTTAGACTTTTGATTAACAGTTAACTTTTTTTAAAGCTTATTAAAACGCTTTTAAGACATAGTTGAAAACGATGTTTTTTTTTATCCTATAACAGTAAAAAATATCAATACACTTATCTCATCCTAATACACCTCGATAAATTAAAGTAAATATGTATAAGGTTTATTCTTTGAAGCGTAAGGGGTCGTCCATAAACTACGTCATGCTCTAAGGAGGAGGGGGGGGAGAAGGTTAGGGTTTTGTGACGACTCATACAAAACTTGCTATTAAAGTATTATGATTTCGTGACGAGGAAGGAGGTCAAAAGCGGTCGAAAATTGCGTGACGTAATTTATGGACGACCCATAATAATGATAAATATTATTTTTAATTAATACAACCCATAATAACATAAAGAATATTTATTAAACTGTTTTAGTTGTTCATTAAAGTGGGCATTGGAGCTTATACAATTATATAATTTTTGCTCTTGAAAATTAATACAAATATTACTGTCAGTTTTTTCATAAATATTATTGAAATAAAGTGAGCTTTTAATACTTAAAGCAACTTTAGGATTGTATAAACTTTACTTACCATATAGGCATATTGCAAATTCTATGAATATTTATAAAATGTATATATTAACTCTGTTATTAGATTTCATTAAAATAAATATGTTTTTATGTTTTATTGTAATAATATATATAAGGTATATATTCATAAAATTAGAAATAAAAACTTTTTTTTTTAGAAATAGTAAAAATGAACAAGCTATCTTTGTTGGCAAAGTTTGGTTGTATTATTGTAATTATATTCCAAGGGTTTTTGCTGAACAAGTATTTAACCTTATCTTATAATATAAAATGGTGGTCATGGTTTATCGGGGATGCAATTGTTGTTGGTGTTTGGATAATAATTTTATTTTATTTACATAAAATATTTAAGGAGAAAAGCGTTAATGAAGTCAATCCCGTAGACCCTAGAAAATTTTCTGATGAAATAAAATATGCTTTTTTTGCTTGGATAACTTATATTATTTTTTTACTGCCAAGAATTGTTATTTTATTTAACACATTTCCTCCAAAACTTAAGAAGAGCGATTTCTTTGGACATAACTTATTAAAAGTATCATTGGCAATTACTCCAATTGTTTTTTTGTTGATGATATTTGGTTTTCATAATGCAAATACAACTCAAGATCGTAAAGTATATATTTCTTCACTAGCATCAAGTGTAACTTTAGATCTTTTTGATAGCATGGATTTGCTGGAGTTGCTTTTTGAACCCAGTGGAGTACCTAAAGTATTTTTAATACTTACTTTGGTTTTTGCAAGCATAAATCTATTTCTTCCTACAATGGCTCTTTACGAGTTGTATGGAAATAAATTTTCTGGCAGAGTTTCTGGATTTTCGTTCAAAATTTGCTATGTGTGTGGATGTATGTTTTTAGTGAATTTACCAAATTTGATATTGCGATCATTTTTATGGCATAGTCATGATGCTGATGTTTCTGTTCTTATTATGAAGAATGTAATGTGCATTTTGATTGGTATAAATGAAATTGTTGAATTTTTATGTGAAGAAAAACCAAAAAGATGTGATAACTGCATGTGCCATTTTAAAAAAGCAGCATTTAAAGAACATTGTGAAAAATGTGTAGCAAACGATTCAAAAAAACAACAATTAGATATTTTGTTGGTTCATAATATAAACTCTATTTAACTTTATCGCATTTTATATACCCACATTTTGCTTTTTTTTTTTTAAGCAGATGCGTTTGTTCAACTTTTTCTTGGAAGTGCGATATGACAAGGTGCGAAATAATTATAATTGCTTTATTTCGTTTTTAAAAAATAACAAACTTTAATTTTGTTTTGTATCGGTTTTTGACAAAACAACGTTTTCACCGTTTCGTTTCGTACCGTTTTTTTTTCGAAGGGATTTTTTACTTATTCTACTAAATAAAAATATTTTTTTTTTGTTTGAATATAAATTACTTTGCTAATTTGTAGGAAAAAACAAGTTTTGTTCTCAACTGTTGTTAACCAATAAGCAATCACATACTCAACATAAAGAAAAAACAAAACTTTTAAAAAGGAAGTAAAAGTGTTTTTCTTATTAAAACTTTTTTAATTTTAAAAAAATTTAAAGAGAAACTTGAAACTTTAAGCAAAAAATCTGTCCAAATAAACAAAAAAACCTTTACCAAAAAGGATATACCTTTATTTCATTCCAGTTTCTTTTTGCTCATTTGAAGCTAGATATTGATTTTTAGAAAGATTACTGGCTATTTTTGCAATTAAAAACTTGTTTTATGTTTTACTTGCATTTTGTTGCAACAATTCAGCTTTTTTGATAACAAATTTATTTTCTAATTGTGTTTCGTTTGCTGTTATTCGTTTGCACCCATCTGTTGCACTAGATGAAGCAAAAATTACTAAAATTAATATTTTAAACAAAGATAGAGATGATCTCATTATGTGCACTAAATTGACATAAGTGGATATTCACAATCTTATTCAACTTTGTGTAAATATTACTTTTTATGGGATGACAAATTACATGCTTTAAAAAGTTCTGGTCCGATTAGTTTGTCTATTATGGTTGTTATGTCAGAAGCGTATCTACAATTTATCGAATTTAATGCTAAAACAGTTAAAATAAACATTTGTTACTTCATTAAAATGTTACCTAATATCTATAAAGTTAATAAAATATTACCAACTAAAAAAGTTTTACGCCTAACTAAAATAGCATAGGTTACAGTATGCTATTTTAGTTAAGCTAAAAACTTTTTTGAATGGTAGTTTTTTATTAACTTTATAGATATTTTAATGAAGAAACAAATGTTTATTTTAACATTTTTTTTAATAAAGTCAACGTTTTATAAACCACACACTGTTGTTACAAAAGTTTAAACTACTAAAACATGTCTATAGTTTACATTGTTAACAGATTTTTACTATAAAAAACAGGAGTTTATTTATATATTTTTATTTATTTATTTATATAGACTATTTATATAGTATTTCTTTATTAACTACTTTTATAATATATTTTTTGCCGTTTAAAAAATATTTTGATAACTAGATAAATTTTACAATATTTTACATTCACAACAGCAGGACTTCTAGAAGATCCTGAGGATCTTGTGATGAAGTTTAATTCAATGAAAATATCGCTTTATAGTATATAAACTTATCCTTATAAGTTTTTTATAATATAATACAATATTTCTAAGAGTTATATATACCCTAGTTATTCAAGTGATATAAAAAACTGTTAAAAAACAAACAAGTAATAAAAATTCAATGTAAAGTCTTAAATAAGTAAACAAAATTACAAATAAATTATCTGAATATGTTTTTGCAATCAAGAAATGAGCTAAAAATCAAATTTAATTTATTATTAAAGGAAAATATATACAAACATAAAGATAATCAAAGAAAGTACAAGTTCTTAAAAGAGGTAACACTTAATTTATATGCTGATAATATCTCAACACATCACAAAAAATTTCTTGATTTTGGACCTTACTTTGCTCATATTCCAAGCAAAGTTCCATGTATGGATTTAATAAGTATAACTTAAAGGGCAGCTTTAAAGTTAAAATATTCAAACAAAAATACTGGTGCAAATAAAGTTAGACAAGATGTACTTTGAGTTTTGAAAATGTATAAACCGGTTTCTACAATGATGTTTAAAAACCGGTTTCTACAATGATGTTTAAAAACCGGTTTCTACAATGATGTTTAAAAACCGGTTTCTACAAACTCAGACAAGGATCAGTTTAAACTCTCAAAGAACGTAAGTCTAGCAACACAATTAGTATTTATCTGTTTAAACTCTCAAAGAACGTAAGTCTAGCAACACAATTAGTATTTATCTGTTTGATCAGGCTTTGCTAGAATTAATAAAGATGATGCCCCTAAAAAAATTGAAGAACAACCTTGAAAATCTAAAATCATAAACTATGATCCAATTCAAAAACTCCTTCGCAAATTTCAGAATACTTTACAAAATTTGAAATCAAAGTTTACAAAAAATGAATATAGATCAATTTATCCAAGTGACGCCACTCCTTCATAATTATATGGTGTTATCAAAGCAAACAAACCAACTAATAACTACCTAATTCGAATCAAAGTAAGCGCAACAAAGTCACCTACATATAAGTTATCCAGTAGTAAATCTCATTCAATCTACCTCCAATCTTAACAAAACAAAACTTCGAAAATGAAAACAATTTGTTGAACGTGCTCAATCATGGTATATCAATCCTGGTGAATTTTAAGTTTCTTTCGATACTTTAAGCTTTACCTTTCAATACCAGTTAAAGAATCAATCGATTTTTTATTAGAACAACTTTGTAATAGTCCTGTCTTCAATTCAAAATTATCGCTTTCAGAAATAAAAATACTTTTAGATTTGTGTTTGTCAAACATAAAAACAACAAATACACTTTAGAAGATATTGGTCCAATAGGTTAATGGTAGTAATGGCAGAGGGTTTTCTGCAACATGTGTAAGATAATGTGCCTATATTAACGCTTTTTCTGAAGAAAAAGCGTTAATACAAGCACAATATCTTACACCATACATACATTTACAATATATGTAAAATAGGGTGTCCCAGAAAAAAAAATTCTAGAAATTAATATTATGCACTAATCCTTCTTATTTGGTCCCAGTAGACCAACATAAAAATATCCTGGCTCAAAGACACTGTTTAGCTGAAGAGGTTGTTTTAAAAAAAGTTTGCATATAATTTTTTTTTTTTCATTTATTGATTAAAATACCGGGAGTATTCAATATTTTAATAAAACAATCAAATTAACTTAAAGGCAATCATCTAATTCATTAATTCTGACAGCTATACTCGAAAAAATCATATAAGTATTTTATTCTTTATTATAATTGCATTGTTTTAAAATGTTTTTTAAAATGAAATACTAGGAAATACAAAAAACAATTAGGTAATGCAAGAATTATTAAGCTTTTGTTGGAAAAAATATATTTCAAAAATTAAAATATAGCCATAAAGTGCTTTTTTTTATCTAAATATTCTTTAAGGCTTGTTTAGTGGCACGTTTAGGCACCTTCTGCCGGTTTTCTAAAATCACCATTGTTGTGTCTTGGAGCCTGTCTTCGGAATGTGTCTTTTCAATGAAATCCTGCACCAATTTGATGCGTTTTTCAGGCCTGTCATTAACACTTGCTAATTGGCGTACACTGGACACAATTGTCTTGAAAAATTTATTGTTAAAATTTTTCTCAAAATTTGACATTCTTTCTTCATTCCATGAGAAAATGTCATCTTTGGTTATACCAAGATGGAGAAAAAAGAGATAAGACTCCTGATAAACAAAGTCTGATAGCTTTGATAGAAGACAGTACTGTGTAAAATGTTTTAAATGTTCTTTATCAAAGCTCTTCATCTCTTGAACATCATGTTTTAATAATTTCACAAGAATATCACCTTTAAATGCAAAGATAACACACTGTGGTGTATAATACCAAGTATGCATGGTGTATGTGGTGTATAATACCAAGTGCACCTGAGAATACTAAGTTTAAGAGCTTTGCCAATCTTTTCGTTCTTCTTGGAGTAAAGTGAGTTTATCATGATCTGCGATAAAATCTTTAATGCTCTAAGATTATTAGATGAAGCCTAAGCTGTCATTGGGCTTGTCAGAAAGAATAAACAGTGAAAGTTCACTATATAATCTGTTGCGCCCTGTATCATCTTAATCTTATTGATACTGAGTTGCTTGTTGTAATTCTTGGTCATTTGCATTGCTAACAGATGCAATAAATCAGCCATAAATCTTGCTTCGTTATGTGCATCTGGTTGCAGAAACCTGAAGTTCAAAAAATCTGCTCCGAGGTAAAAAGCTACCAGTTAACATAAATACTTGTAGTCAAATATTTGTTTTATGAGCTGTCGTGCAGAACTGCATTGTTTCATTTGCAAGATTGTAAAAGAGGGTTCAAAGAGCAAACTCAGGTCTGTTTCAATAAAATTTCTCAACGTTGGCCAATATAGTTTTTTCAATCCAAAGATCTTGATGTTTTTTGCATAAAGAATCTGTCATTATTTTCAGAAAAAATAAAAATAAAAAAATGCCTGTAATTTACATAGTAAAGCACCATACCTGCACATATAGAATAAACTGCAAATTCTAACTGCACCATTATGTTTTCCGTGTTTGAGCGAGCTGTGTCAGCATAACAAGCTATGATCAGGTCTGTAAAGTCATAATATTCCACAAGACTTTGGATAGCCAGTGCTTTATCTTTCTCTTTGGAGGAGGGTACTTCAAGTATTCCCAAAAGAAAGTCAAGTGAGCCGGGCTCTGGAGAGAAAACAGTAATTACCATTTTTTCTACTGTTTCCGAAATCTTTACCTCCGTCCAGTACTGCTGGACCAACTTTGTGTCAAATTTAAAAATAAGTTTTAAACTTTTTATCTTATCCAGGTTCTGCTCTCTTACTATAAGTGCTTCATTCTCTATAATTTCATGGTTTTTTCTTGCAATCTGTGACTTAGAAATGTTCAGCTCAGCATGTCAATATCTACTCCCCTAGCTTGGACTAGGGAAGACAACATTACTGTTTCAGCTCTCACACTAATTTCCCAGTAGGAAAAAAGATATCTCTAGACAAATAAAAGACGTCTTTTTTATGACTTGCTATGTCTTTTCAGAATTAGCCTAAATAAAGACGTGGAAAAGACGTCTTTTAAATAAACGTCTTCAAAAAAGAGGTCGAAAAGACACCAATCTGTTGTACGTCTTTAATTAAACGTAGAAAAGACGTCTTTTATATCGATAACCTTTAAAAAAAAGAAATCTTTGTTACGTTCTG